TCCTTCTAGGTGATATTAATCAAGTATGATTTTTTTTTTTCTCTTTCGCAAATGACTATACACTGCTTTGACAGTCAAGTGACTTTATTTTCCTTATCCAATGAAAGAGGATCTCATGATTGTGTTTCTGTAGTTTGAGAACTATCCACATCCAGAAGAGATTTTCTGGATACTTCCATACCAAATCTTGACTGAATATATGTTTATTGATGAGTTACATTGTTGAAACACTTTAAACCTTGCTGCTGTCAAGTGGAAGAGCTTTTCCTCTATCCTTTTAGGTTCTATGAGTAGGGTCCGGCAAAATAGACAAAAGACAGATTAACAGGAGAAAAAAAGATTAGATTGGAGCTAACAAAAGTAGTTACCTTGCTAAATGGTAAGTTAGAGGCTTATACACCTAATTTAGGGGATGCCTGGGTGGCTTAGTTGGTTAAGCATCTGCCTTCAGCTCACGTCATGACCCCAGGGTCCTGGGATCCCAGGTCATGATCCCAGGGTCCTGGGATGGAGTCCCGCATCGGGCTCCTTGCTCAGTGGGGAACCTGCTTCTCTCTCTTCCTGCCGCTCCCCCTGCTTGTGCGCTCTCTCTCTGACAAATAAAATCTTAAAAAAAAACACCTAACTTAGTAAGGGAAGGGAGTAGGGAGAAAAGGCTTTTATGGGAAGAACAAATAGGTTTCTTCAAAACAGGCAAATAGGTTTTTAAGAGAACAAACAGGAGATCAGAAACTTTGTGATTGTGTTTGTCTATGCAGCTTTGGTCTTTTGATCTTCAGGGAATTATAGTCAAAGTTTATTTTCCTTCTTTGGGAGCAGCTCTTCCCTGCCTTATATTGTAAAATATTCTGCTTTGAGTCAGTTAAGGGAAGTGCCAAGAAGGTTTCTTTCTGCCATCTGTTGAGTCTCAGATGGCTTCCCTTTAAAATAATCTTCAACCCTGGGGTTCTGAGTTGGTTTCCACACAACCAAGCACAACTCCCCACAACAGCATAAGCTACTTCACTCCATCTTGTGTGGCTGGCTTTTTGAAAGTCAGTGAAAGAGTTAACTGCATTTAAATCCCCTTTTGGTGGCTCATACCCTGTGTTTCAACATGTTGGGGATTTGATTTTTCAACATGTTGGGCATGTCGTAATCTGGTCAGTCCTTCACCAGCGGCCTCCGCTGTGTGCCCGTTCCTGCACCCAGGTCTCTCCTTTCTCGGCGTGCATGCTCTGCACGCTATGCTTTCCCAGCGAACCGAGTTCCTTGAAGAACAGGATCAAGTCACACTCATCTGTCTTTTCCCGTCCCCATGTGTGAGGCTGGGTGCATGGACGATGCTTGTTACATGCTTTGGCTGTGTGAATTAACAGACATCAGACCTCCCCTTCTTCTGGTTGGGGCCCAGCTCGGCTTGGGGGTCCCCTGCACTCGAGTACCCAGGCATGGGCAGATGGTGGACAGTCAAGGAGCCAAAGAAGACTGGGAGGGAAGAGGGTTGTGAACCGGGTCCGTGTTATACGGCCCCTACTTCTCGGGGGCCTTGATGATCAAATGGATTCAAGCATTTAAACATCTTAGAAGTATATTGAAGGGGTTCAGGACAGCCCCCCTACAACTACATAGAATAATCTAAATTGGAGGGTCTTTCCAGAATAAAGGTTATTAGTAAAGATAAATTTTATCTGGGGCGCCTGGGTGGCTCAGTCGTTAAGCGCCTGCCTTCAGTCAGGTCATGATCCCAGGGTCCTGGGATCGAGCCCCGCA